TGGGTTGAAGACCCGAGGTGTACATATACAATGAACCACTCTTGAGCTCATTCAAACCTTAAAACTTAACACGATAACACGCTATTACAATAAATGGTAACTTGCTTGCATAAATTTGGTTAGTCGATCATAAATCACATACATCCCAAGCTTTTGAAGATCGTATTAAGAGGACCTATTTCTCCAATATGGCTGATTTTGGTGGACATTTATTAGGAGGAACTATTCCTGTATATATTATGTATGTTTAGCTGGAAAGTTAAATTGTCTTTTTATTGGAAAATCAATAAAAAAGACCTTTTACGTAATGAAATGTGAAAATAAGAGTAAAATGTTAAAAAATAAAAGGTATAAATATTTTGCACAATAACATTGAAAGGCAGAAACACTTTGTTCTATTTACCCAATATCGTAATCTCACTTTTATAGATATAGGTTTGGAATACAATAATTCACAATAAACTATACACTGTATTTCAAATTTTCACCAACATACTTTCACGGGCTGAACACTTCCTATTGCATGATGAATAGAAAACACAATGATAGTCTCACATATTCGCAACCCAATTGTGAACATGTGTCTAAATTTTAGCCACAGTGATGATACATATATAGCTACTGTTTGATTTAACCAAAAAAATTATTAAAATTTAAATTAAAAATCAACAAATTATTTTATGAGATTCATGACTTTTCAATCACATGTTTAATCAAATTTTTAACAAGATTTACTAAATGATACCGTTATTTGTATTCACAGTTTTTTATATATACATTCCACATTATATACACCCCTATTAAGATATTACAATTTTTGAAAAATTACTAATTTTCATCCAAGTATTCCAATATCGTTATTATTAAATTCATCCATTTAAATATTATAAATTCATACAAATTTTATAAATTTATTCTATTATAAATACATTCCTAATACAATTTCAAAAATCACTATATTCATCCAATCACTATCAACATTTAATCCAGTTCTTACTTTTTACTTTCTATATTGTCATGTCGATGCTTTACTATTTAATTATAAAGGTTTACAAATCTCTATTTTTGAATTTATAGGATTCTCTAAAAAAATACTGCTCGTGCAAACAAACAAATATTTCCTTAAATCATATATTAACTATTTCTTTTGCTTATAAACTCATAATTTTGGTGGTTTGTGTTTCGATTGATAATTTTAAGTTTGTTTCCTTTTATAATGTAAGAATATTGAATAAGTATAGAAACTTATTTTGAAATTTCTCGTATACTTTCATCTGTCAAATCAATACTTAAAAAATATAAAAAATTAGATTCCATTTTTCATATCAAGAAAAAATTATAACTATAATAATGTGTTGATTTTCCTTTTTTTTTGTTTTTTTTTTGAATTTTCATTGAAGAGGATATTTTATTTATTAGGGTTTATGATTTTAGTTAAAGATGATGTTTTATGATTATTAGAATTTTAGTCAAACATAAAATCTGAAAAAATATAAAAAGATTTTAAAGAATTTATGAAAATAGACATTAGTGAATGAATTTAGAACCATATTTTTTTATTTGATTTTATATATGTCTATTTAGGTAAATTTATATAAGATAAAAAAATATAATATAATTTATCTTTTCAAAAGTGGATGTATATACAAAAATTATGGATGTAAATAGCGGTACCCTTTACTAAAAAATTAATTTTTTATCTAAATCAATCATGGATATAATAATCTCTAATATGTACAACGAAAGATATTGTCCCTGTTAGACCCCATTTTTGGTTAAAAAGTATTTTGAAATAATGCTTTTATTTGGAGAATGTGTGGCTAAAAAATAACAAAATTTTTTCAATTTACGTGTAATATTATTTTATTAAAAAATGTGTGATTAAATAGAAGGAAAAAAATATTATCCATTCAAATTAAGTTTGGATGTACACAAAATATAATATTAAATTTTATTGGAAGTGAAGTTCGTTTGTTGTCCTAATAAAAGTTTACATTCAAAGCATAAAGTGACAAAGGTCACGCATTCCAAATACATGGAAAGGGTGAAATTATTGATCAAAACTTGTTTGTGCAGTACGAGGGCAAAGTGATTACAACCCAAAAAAGATAAAAATTAAAGAAGAAAGCTGATCCTCATCAAGGAAATGGAATAGGGACAAAAGTATTATACAACGTAGGGCTTCTATTTTTACTTTTTATATAATAAATTTTTGAAATTAGACATTTCAAAAGCTACCAAATAGATTCAAATATGTTCAAAAGCAATTTCTAAATCTTAAAAGCAATTTTTGACTTTTTAAAAGTTTGCCAAATGAACCCTATGAACTTTTAAATGTTGTGAAATGAGCCATATTACATACAAATTTTGCAACATCCATTATTTTTAAAGTTATTTTCCTTTTTTATTTTTATTTATTTATTCCAAAATTATGATGAAATATTAGGCACATAAATCCGGCATCATTTTTTAATTTTTACTAGAGCATACCAACATTAGTGCATATTTAGAAATACTTCAACGAATATCTGAAAAGAAAAAAAATTGGACTAAAACCCTAATGTTTCAAGAATTTTGAGTTTGAACTCGTTGGGCCAGGCATTACCAAAAAGGATAATAGTAACCATATTTGAATATGTTACTATTTTCATTTTAGAAAAACACTCATTTCAAAGTGAAATAAGTAAACATCTTAAAGTTAACTAACCATCGCTCCAAGTTTTTCCCATGCATCGTAAGTGAATAGTTGAGAATTTGAAGAATATTCTAATAACATTTTTTGAAAATCATTGGCGCAATTAAGAGGAGTATTTGAATTTTCCGTTTCAATGGTGGTAGCAACAGTGAGTCCGATACAATATTGTTGAGCAACTCTTACAACCCATGTTTGATGGCCATTATTTGGTCGAAATAATGTTTTGAATAGTGATTTTTAGAAAAATGTGTGGTTAAAAAATAGAAAAAAAATTGAATTCATGTGCAGAATATTTTATTGGATGTATGAATAAAAATAAGTATGTATAATTTTTTTTTTCATATAATAGTCGTCAAATAGGGGTATAATCATCAAACAATTATAAAATTTCTTCATGATTTAGCACAAATATTTATCTGTGGAAATATATGCTGGACTTTTTCTTCTTCTTTTTTTTTTTTTTACTAGTAAGTGTATTAATTGATCAATTTGCGAAATATGTAATGTTCTGTTGGGTGGATGTGATAGAGAAGCATGCTTGATTTGATACGAGAATGTGATTAGCCACTAAACATTTCACTCATTTACTGTTATATTATCAATCGAATAAGAGGGACTTGAAAATGGTTGTCCACTCAAAAAATAAAAATAAAAATGTACGACTCTTGTCTTATAGCAATTAGTATTGGGAAAGAGCCAACACTCAACGAGCCACGAAAGTCACCCGTGTCGGCTACGTCAAAATATTATTATTATTATTATTATTTTTTCAAATATCGGACAATCATTCGATGGCCTCTAGAGCGACTGCACAAGCTCACCTGAATTTTAGGATAAAATAGCATGGCAAAACATGGGGTTCACAAGATAGAGATGGCAAGTCAGTTATTGTTCTCAAAGTTCTGAGCTCGACTAGACAATATTCAATGCAATTTCCATTATTGATGTTTATAAAAAATTATCTCAAACTTGGGAAAATACTTGACCATTCGAGCAAAATAGGCGTACCAATCCACTCCATCGATCAAACAGATTGAACTGGTGCTCGATTGATTGTACAGGCCAAGAATCAACGGCAGAGATCATGTCATACTGTTTTATGTAAATTGTGTAGGCCCCTCAATGATTAGAACTTTTGAAAATAATGATCCAACCATCGAACAATGCGGAGTCGTAATGATGGTCCTACGATTCACCAAAAGCTTCTCAAGATATGGCAAGATGAAAAGATATAAAGAGACGTGTGAAAAGGTAAAAATAACAGTCAACAGTACATTAAAGTGAAAATGATAGATTGATAGTTGTAGATAAAAATAACTTTTTTCTTTTCTTTTGTAAGAAGTTCAGGTATAATTAATCGAAATTAAGTAGTATAGACGGTTGAGACCTTGCCTTGATCAAAGCAAGTCGTTAATGCCACACTTTGTTCCATCACCAAACTTTAGAACAACCATATTTTAGTTGGTAAGGCGATGTTATGTTCACAGGAGCGGATCTAGATGACTTGGGTTAGGGGGTCAAAAATAAAATTTATAGGGTATCTTCTAAAAAAAAAAAAAAAAATGCTAAGCAAAAATTCCTCCTCCACCCCTGGATGATTCTTATTTTATGCTAAAGCGTGACTGAGGTAGAGGCATAAAAGGTTGAAAGAAACGAGGATGAGGATTTGGTTTTGCAACGTTATATTGTTTGATGTAATTGAAGGAGACGTAGACGGTCTGATAATTTGTGTCAAAAGTTAGAATAATCAAAGTTCGGGTGCTTGGTTGAAATTAAAATTAGATTTTGATAGAGATTTTTGAAATATGTGATTGAAAAATTGTTGAACCCATAAAAGATGTATTTAGTATTGATTGTTTGATTTTAACTTGTATTAAAATTTGAACCAAACAGGAGTAGAGAATGATCGTGAACCTATCAAGTATTTAATCAAGTGAATAATAACACAACATAATTCGATTGTAAAAAATGATCATGAAACTATCAAGTATTTAATTAAGTGAATAATAACACATCATAATTCGATCATACAAAATTTAATTTTCGTTACTCATTCTATATTTCTTTATAAGCTTATCGTTTTCGACATCGCATTGAGTCCCCTCCCGAGCTGTACTTTATTTATATTAGTAAAGCTGAGTCGACCCATCATTTTTAACTGAAAAGCTATTTTAAATTAAAATAAAATGTACATTAATATTGAGAATTTTTAGGTAAGAATGCTAGCTAGTTCTTAACAAAATTATAGTATCAAAAACCGAAGATCATCCGTACGAGAATTAACATATATAAAAGGACGATAGTATATATTATGGTACTTTTATTCATGGTATGTGACAAAAATTTTAATAAAGAAAAACGAAAAGGTACAAAATTCTACATCTTCCTGTAGATTTATTATTTATACTATGGAAACCCAGACAGCCAGACAGGGCCACATGTAGAGCACCACAACATGTCAAGAGTGAAAGGCCATGGAACAGTTATCCATGTGACCCCTACCCCACCCATTGTTCATCCCAAAACTTACATAACAGAACATGCATTAGGGTTTTCATCACTAAAGATCTGTGGAGCATATTCATAATTCTCTCGGACAAATCTTTGAGTTTGAATATGATAGTTTTGAGGGTAGTAATAGTTGAATTCATTCTTTTTCAAATCGAGTTTAGTGTCGACCTCCGGTTTAGCTGGTGGTTCTTCACCGCCGCCGCTAGCGTCACCATTGTCCCCGCCTCCTTTCTTGTTTTCTTTCGCCTCTTCACCACCTGTCTTGGCTTCTTTTTCTCCGCCCTCGGCTTTCTTCTTGTCTTTACCATCTTTCTCTTTTTTCTCCTCTTTCTTCTCCGGCTCTAACTTCATGATCACCGCATGCTTTCCCGTTTTCTTGTATACATAATCAACAAGATTTTCAGGCTCAAACACACCTTTTACTGTCACCTGTGAACTCTTTATGTCTGGATCTGCACTTTCCACTCCTACATATCAAAACTTGACCATGTTAACATATTACTCTGCGAATCATTTGGCTAACTTCAAAAATCAATTTTAAGTAACTTTTTATGCAACCATTTTTGAAGTTTTTTCATAAGTTTCTTCCTTGTGGATTTGCAGTACAAAATCATACTTATCAAATTGACTTCAATTTGAAGGAATTCAGACAGAATACGAAGAATTGAACATTTTATTCCACTTAAAGGATATACAGCAGAAAAGGGCAACAAAAGCTCAAAAAGAACAACAATTATATGAACCTAAAAGAAGTTTTAAAATAAATAAATTTATAAAAAATAAAATTAAGAAGAAAAATGAAGTTACCTTTCATTCTCTGTATTCGCTCTCTGATTTCTTGAGCACAAGCCTCACAATGCATGTAAACTCGCAAGACTACTGTAATCACCGGAGGCTATAAAAGAAACAAAAACCAATTTAAGATTAAAAGGAAAATTTTATTATAAAAAATCCATAAATTCATCAAATGGAAATACAAACCTCCGCCTTTTTCTCTTCGGCTTTGGCCACCTCTTTCTCTTCGGTTTTCTTAGGTTCTTCCGCCGGCGGTTTTGGAATTGGAGATAGAAGCTCCACTTGACGGTGGCTCTTCCTTTGAACCCTTTCCAAAACCTTAATTGGATCTGCCTTGTCACCTTTCACAACCACCTTACTCGTCTTGCAATCTGTTATTACATCTTCTACTCCTGCAAAGTAATTTTGGAATAGAATACATAAATCCCTTTTCGTCATTCTATTAGGTTCGATTCCCACGCCTTGAGACTGAACCCTGATTTTGTTTTGATTTTTTTATTAAAGTTGATGAATTTGGGATTGAAAATCTGCTAAATTGCGTCCCATTTCATTTACGGTCAAAATTAATTATTGACTTCCATTTTTATCATTTTTTTTAATAGCTAAGTTGGCTAAACAACAATGTAAAAATTTAAGAAAGATTTAATTACCTTGAAATCCTTTGAGGCATCTGCGGACTTTTCTGGCACAACCTTCACAATGCATGTATACTTTAAGGATGATTTCTTGCGGCGCCGGTTCCTTGGATTCCCCAGATTTCTTTTCCTCTTTCTTTTCATCACTCTGTTTCTCATTAGCTTTTGGGGCTTCTTCTTTCTTCATTTCTTCCTCAGGCTTCTTTGCTTCCTCTGGTTTCTTCTCTTCCTAGACCCAAAAAATACACACAAAACATGAGTTTCATAGCAAAAATTAAGATTGGGGTGTGTATGTATATATCGTCACCTTCCCCATTGGTTTTTCTCTGGTTGGGAAATGGACTGGAGATGGATTCAGACACTGGCACTCTCACTGTTTTTTTCTCTCTCTCTATCTACGCTCAAGAGTGAGGATGAGTTAGGAGCAACAAGTTTTGGCCACCGGGTTTACGAGGCACTCGATGTGTCATCATATATAGGTAGCAAGTGCACTAGAAGCGTGTTTTATCAGAACTGAAATTGCGCTTTTAGAACTGTGCACGACTTCTAGAAGATCAATCTAATTTTAGCCAGAAATGTTGTGTAAAAAATCAGAAAGACACTGTACTGGATACTACCATAAATTTTACACAGATATATATTTCCTTAATTTATGTATTTCCAAAATAATATTAACCATGAAAATTAGGGAATTTGCAATGGAGGTCTCAAACCTTAAAAAAAATACATAAAAACTCCAAAACTTTAATGCACCCTAAATCTTTAAAAAATGAGCGTAGGAACCCTCGGCTGTTTATGTACAAAAAGGCCTTCAGTTGACCAAAATTCAAGCGACTGACCATCTTTAAAAATGTCAAAAATGTGTCTTAATCTTTATTAATTAATATTATAGAAATTTGTTCTACTTCAAAACATTTCAAAAATGTGCAGCATGGTCCCAAACTTTTATTATAAGGTCTTATATTTATTATGCATAGCAACTCGTTATTTGATAAGTCTTGATAAAAAAAACAATTAGAGCCTGTTTGGGAGTAATTTTTCCTCCCCAAAAATTAATTTTTTGAGCGTTATTTTACTATTTCAGCCGTCATACATATTTGACTTCTTATCTCACAAATAGACCCCACTTTTCTCGTAACGATCAAAAAATCAATTCTCATAATCACTGCTATTAACAAAGTCAACAATTACAAGGTAAAAAAAAAAAAGGCATTAAAGAAGTAATGGAATGTGATATTGCCATGTCTATAGAACACATGCAAGCTTGAAGCTTTTGGTCATTTGTCCAAATTTAAGGTAATTATACCACCACAAGATTAATTTACTAATCATATCATAATCACACATATTTAAAATATATTTTTAATAAATACACCACAATAAATTTACAATTTTATTTCTAATCCAATAAAAATGAAAAATGAAAAATGAAAGAAATACAGTATTGTAATGTACTCATCATCACAATAATTTCTTTTATTAAAATCCTATTTTTGTAATTTTACTTAAGGTCATTTGAGTAAATAAAAAAAATTAAAAATCGTAGTGAACTTAATAAAATTCGTAGTTAGGCATAGGAATTTATAATTAATGAGTATCCCTATTAAGTACATATCTGTAGTTAGGAAAATTATAAATGCAAGTATTTATTGTGCAGTGTATTTTCTGTGGTCCATTCAATTATGCACATTAATTTATAGTAAAAAACTGCAAAAATATTATTCATATTAATGAGAATTTGCCTTGCAAAGTATGATTTTAAATAGGGCACCACCAACCTGGGGGCCCACTCTATTAACTTGGCAGTTATGTGATTTGGACGAAAAATAAAAAAGTTCATTTTATAATTTTGTTTTTGATTTTTTTTTTTCAAAATTCTCAAAAATTAATCTTCAACATACATTTCATAGGATCCGCGATTTTTCAATCATATATTTTATCAACAATTATTAAAATCTATCAAAAATTTAATTTTAATTTTCACTAAACATGGGCATATATTTTACCTTTTGCAAAAAGATAATTTTCATTTTATTTTATTTTATTTTATTTTATTTTCACCACTCAGTCCTCTCTTATTTTCCTTTTGAGAATCTGCGTTGATTGAAGGAAAGAGAATCTTCAATGTATGGAATCAAACTAGAGAAGACTGCTTATATGCATTGTAAATTTGTAATTATAATTTCCTACTGATCAAAGTTTTATTTATTTAATCAATTAAAAAAATCGAAAGAGCAGGTCCGACCATAAGCCCATAAATGGTCTAGTTTGAGATCGATTGAATTCATATGATTTAAGGGGCATTTGCAAAAATGTCCAATTTTACAAATGTTTACTTTTGATCATTTTTGTAAAAATGGCCAAATTTGATATCAAATTCTCTATTTTACCCTTAATGAAAGAATAATTTCATATTGCAGATGTCAAATTACAATTAATGCTAGACATGGAATGTCGAGAACAACATTTAAAGTGTAGAGAAATGTCATGTTCGAAATGAAATATCATTCTAGACATCTAGTATGTCGAGAACAACGTTTGAAATGCCGAGAATATTTAATATTATGATTTGACATGTGTACTTTTGAAATATAAACGGGTTCAAATATCGAGAACGGCATTTGAAATGTCGAGAACATCATTTTAATGTAACTTCTCATGGAAGTTACTTATGGGTACTTTCGTCCAAATAATAGCAAAAATGGACATTGAAAAATTTTGACATTTTTGCAAATGACTATGTCAAAATGGACATTTTTTTTTGTAATTTCCTCATGATTTAATTTCTCTCAAAATATTACAGACATTATTTAAATTGTTATATATGTTTATTATTTTAACAGTATAAGCTCACGTTTGATTATATGATCTGGTACAGGCCATGAACCAACAAGGCTTCTATGCAAGTTGACGAGAGGCTAAAGACAGGGTTTGAGCTTGATTAAAGCTTACAAAACCAAGATTTGAGCTTAATTCGAGTTAGCAAGCCATGCAAATTATTTGTTCGAGTTATGGAGTCCAAAATGTTGAAATTAACAAGTCAAATAACAGCCTATATATTGGTCATGAAGGTGAAATCATGTTTGGTATGTTGGATTCAAAATTTTGGACGATATATGGAAAAACGAGTAGCGTGGATTAAAATTGGCATAACTTTCAGCTTGGGTGTCAAATTTTCGCCTATGAGTACAATTCGAAATCATCACAAAATTTTGTACATGAGAAAGTTGGTGTTGAAATTTAAGCTATGCGACCGCATACCTTTATACCGAGACAAAATTGAAGCCTGAAGAATGAACTATACGACTGCATCTGATATAACTATGCGACCACATAGTACAATTTCAGGATGAAGTTTCCAATTTTCGCAAGATCTTTTATTTTGACTAGAATTCTTATTTTTGGGTAACTTTTTGTATTTTTAGGAGTTTATTTCTGTTTCAACTCGGTTTTCTAGATTTTCCTATAAATAGGGATATTATTCCACATTGTAATCTGAAGACTTTTGCTTGAATTACAAATTGAGATTTCTTCCTCGAAGCTTTTCTTCAATTACTTGTTCTTGATGGAACAAAGTATCGAGCTTATCAAGATTTAGAACATCATGTGACGTTCAAAACTATTTGGTGTGAATTACAACACATGTAATTAAGGGGTTCTACAATTTTCGTTATTGTCGAGTTTCTTGATTCATTGTCTTGGGTTCAAATCCACAAATTCAAATGTGATTTCGTAAGTCGTGTGATTAAGGTGTTGTTAGTTTCATATACTTCTGGTTGCTTGGTCCACAAATTCGGGTATATTTGGCGTTCTTGGGATTTGTGACAATCTCCTGTGGGTTTTGTAGTGTCCGTTGCTACGCGAGTTCGCACTGGTTGGTATCGGAGCTCAAACTCCAAAATAAAGGTTATATCTTTTTGTTTTTATTGAGTCTTTTCATTTTTTGTTTTTCGCGTTTTCTTTTGTTCTACGTGTTCTTGTAATCTTTCAATTATTTTTGAGTCTTTGATTTGTTAAAATCCCATCAAAATTTCAAAAGTTGTTTTTGGACTAATTTAGCGTCCAAATCAACTTCTATTTGTTTTGTTAGATTTGTAGTCTAATCTTCTATCAAGTGAGTAAAAAAAAAGAGTCAAAAAAAAAAAAGAAAGTCAAAAAGAAAAAGAGAGTAAAAATGAAATAAAAAAGCATCAAAATAAAAAAAAAATGTCTGAAAGGGTGATTCGACGGTTCGAAAAGATGCTTGGAGATATGGAGGATAAGCTTGATACAAAACTTGCTAAATTTCATAGGCGGCAATGTGTAGAAGTGTCCAATGTGAGGACGAGATAAATTGGAGCCTAGTATTGACGTTTGTGATATATATAGAAGTGGTAGTGACAGTGATGAAGATACATTATTTGAGGCTGAATTACGGAGAATGAGAAATAGAGGTGATATGCTTGGACGAAGGGATAGAAATCTTAATGGAGACGATGTTGATAGGAGAATGGAATGTAAAGATGACAATTCACAATTTAAGGGGAGGAGTGACCTAGAGGCGTACTTGGCGTGGGAAGAAAAGGGAGAATTGCTATTTGAGTGTCATAATTACTCTGAGGAGAGAAAGCTAAAGTTAGCTTTGAACACATTTGTGAATTGTGCTATAATTTGGTGGGATCAGTTGACAACATCTTGGTGGAGGAATTATGGGAGGCCTATTGAAACTTGGGATGAGTTGAGGGCTATCATGAGGAAGCGATAAATACTTAATCACTATTATGGTATCAGAGAGATAGGCGTGTAAAGGGGTTTAGAGAGGAGCCTAGAAAATGTGATGGAGTTGATTATCCGATGGAAGATAAAACACCTATTGCGAAGTACATCAAGTGAGTTGGCTGGTTGGGATTTCAAATATGAATTATCAAAGCTTCATGACAAGGTTAATTGTCAAATTGATCATACGAAGGAACATGAGAATGAGAGAGAAAATTGTGAGGTGACTAAATCAAAGAAAAAATAAGAAGGGCCACAAGAGAGTGAAAGGAAAATCGAGAGTGAAAATGAAAAGGGAGAAGTGGAGCTACAAGAAGAAAAATGAGGAGAGTCTTTGGTGATAAAAGAAGAGTCAAAAGTGAACTTACGTGAAAACGAGAGTGGAGTAGAGGCGGCTTTAACGAGAACTAACAATTCCCTCATTTGGTTATTTCTGTTTTACAGGATTTTGAAGACGAGCTCATTGGAATACCATACAATCTGGGCATTGAGCAACAATTTGTGGATGAAATTAACCAAAAATTTCTTATTCGTCGGAGGTTGACTTCGTGATCCCTGAGAAGACAAAGGAGTTTCAAAGGTATTGGAGGGAGTTCATATGCAAGGGATTGAGAGACAAAGATGATTTGAGGGGCAACATAGATTCATCTAAAGTGTCATTACTACACGAGCCTAGGCGAGAGAGGACATGGAGGGTGCATGGTT